AGACATTGGTGTGTGTTCTTGATCTGAAGACAATGCTCTTGAGATCAGATGGGCAGCTACCGAATTTGTGCATTTCTCTGACTTTATGACTTCAGAAAAATGTCAGTTCAGTGCCTGCTAGGGCTTGGGCGCTGCTGGGGGTTTATGCAGCAGCACCCTGTGTGTTGGGGGTCATTCAGGTGTGGGGTGCAGGGGGGGTCACACAGTGGTGGGTAGTCTTCGCTCCTCTGGGGTATCACGGTCTTTGCTCCTCTGAAGTTTCGCGTGGGTGGCTGACTGTTGTTCTTCCCAGGTCTCTTCCTGGCCCGTCTGGCAGCGGGCAGAGCCCCTTCTGGTGGTGGGCGGGAGTTCTTCCGTCTGGCCTATACTTAAGGATATTGAGAGCAGAATAATGAATGATCCAGAAAGAATCAGAAGAAAGGGGTACAGAGTCACTGTAGCAAAATGAATTGGCTGACACAGAAGAAGGTACTGAAACAATGAATGATAAAAAGTTAATGGTTATGAAAGGGGAATTTCTAGGTGCTTTGCAAGAATGGGCAAGAAACAAGCCCACAGGAATTGATGGGATATCAACTGACATATTTCAACGGGCAGATACTGTCCTGGATGTGCTCACCAGGTTGTGCCAAGGAATCTGAAGGACTACTACCTGGCCAAATGACTGGAAGAGATACATATTTATTCCCTTCCAACAAAACGTGACCCAATAGAGTGTAGAAATGATCGAACCATATTACTCATATCAGACGCAAGCAAAATCCTGCTGAAGACTATCCAAAATAGACTGGAACACTACATTGATAGAGAACTACCAGAAACAAAAGCTGGGTTTAGAAAAGGCCATGGCCAGATCCAAGATGGCGGCGGAGGCAGAGACAATGTGGTGAGTTGCGGGAGCAGTGGACCACTTGGAGCAGGGCCACTATGGCCTTCTACAGACCTCTGTTTATTGATAATTGAACAGTTAAACAGTTGATGACTGGTCTTCAGTGAAGATCGAGGCTCAACTACAGGAATTCAAGGATTCCCAAGGAGGAATGGGTGAGTCTCTCAGCTTCCAACCCCCTCCAGCAGAGCCCGCACTGTGCCAAACTGCTGCTGCAGCTCCATGAAGCTCCCACAGCTGGAAACTATGGATTCCCTCGCCCAGGATGGATAGTAGGCTCCAGGCCTCCCCAAGACTGGTGCAGCGGATGTGCCACAATCCCGCAAAGTGGACTTGTTCTGGGGAGAATTCTTGGAGCCAAGATAGTGGCAGCAGGGAAACGGGCGGCCACTGGCCACAGTGCAGAGATGACACCTCACCGCCTGCGCAGGAGATGGGACACGAGCCCTCTGCCAGCAGGTTTGGGTTTCTTCGGGCAGGCCAGAGAAGATGATCACTGATACAATGGATTGTTTAAGGTCACTGTGAGTTGTCTATTTGATGGCACTTAACAGTGGCAGCATGTCCAAGAGGACCGACATCCTAAATGCACCACATATTTTGATCTGTTGAATGCTTCTGCCAAAAGCTGTTTAGACCTGGGGGGAGTCTATTCACAACTCTCAGGTTCCCTTTGCCATTTATAAAGGGGGAGGGCAGTGACACCTACTTCAAATTATAGTATGACCACTTATTGGGGAGTGGGGTAAAAGTGGCTGTGCTGCAATTGGAGATGCTGTCCTTGGCCACACAGTACTTGGTCAGGCAAGGGGACCACACTGGGTGAAGGCAATTGGAGGGGGAATGTACCAGCCAGACCCTGGGGGGAGGTTGCCCTGCTCGGGATGGGCTATCTTTGGCCCCTGGCCCAGAGTGGGCTGTCTTCGGCCCTCGGCTCAGGGCGAGCCATCACGGCCCTCAGGATGAGCTCCTCAGTCCCCAGATTGTGCCATCTGACCCTTGGATGGGGGAAAAAAATACCTAGGGTATCCAGAGAATTTTATCTAGGCTACATTCTGCCACCCTCTCCCCCAGCAAACCTGAAAGGAACACCTCCAAAGCCCTTATATTTGTAACTCACAAGTTTGTTCTCTCTAGGTTTGCTCCCTTTCCTATAGGTAACCTTAACACTGAGTTTTACTCCAGAATTGACCCTGAACCCAGTGCCAGTGACAAAAAGGAAATACAACTGACAGCTAAGGAAGCAAAGGAAGATGGAGCCTCTGGGTTCAACCAGTCAACCCCACTGGACCCACCTGAGAAAACACTTTGCAGTCCAGAGGGGAGCAAATGACAGGAAAATATCTTCTAACAGAACAAGAAGGCAAGCAGCTTTAACCCAAGACCACCAGTAAGGTGATAAAGTGTCCTCCCTTTCCCCCTTCACATCAACGCCCCTGTTAGCATGAACAAGCCAGAGAGTCTGCATCCAGTTCCCATATCAATAAGACAGTTGGTTTAATTGACATTGGAAAATGCTTACCATTCCCCTGTATTATCTGGTCCCCACTGAATCCTTTTCATTTCCTTCACCTGCTCCCCCACCAACTAAATTGTGCAGCTCTGCAACTGCATCTGTGGCCATCCTCACCCTTCTGCCCCCAACCCTCAACTCCTTGTACCCCCATTATGTTTTCCCCAATTAAATTTAAAAAAATGAATTGCAAAAAATAAAGAAATGTTTAAAAAAAAAAAGAAGAGGCCATGGCACTAAGGAAATCAGCCAAAGTCAGATGGATCTTGGCTGAAAGTCTAGAGTACCAGAGGAATATTTATCTATCTATGTTTCAATGTCTACACAAAGGCATTTGGCTGTTTGGATCACAAGAAATTGTGGCTAACCTTGAGAGGAATGGGAATCACAGAACACTTGACTGTGCTCAAGAGAACATACCCATATCAAATATCAATGCACAAAATGATGTTGTTTTTTTTGTTAAGTGCCATCAAATCAATACGACTCAGAGTGTCTCTATGAACAAAAGATGTGAACCCTGTACTAGAACTGTTGTTTCCCTAATGTTCATACAGTTTTCAAAACCTGTTGTTTAAGAAGTGGATGTCAATCCTGCCTCTAAGCCTGTCTTAATCTGGCAGCTCTACAAAACCCTGTCTGTCATGGGTAACCATTATGTCACTTACCACACCAGCAGTATAGCATTCAGTATCACAGCAACCCCAAGTATCTCAGAATAGGAAACTGATAGACCAGTATGATACCACTTGGAACAATGTCCCTTTACTCAAATCATGATAACGCAAGCTAAAAAATGAAAGAGAAACACTAGATAATGAATAAGACGAGGAATAGATGTTATTGAATTACTGTGTTGGCAAAAATATTGACTATTTCTATCAAAAAACAAGGAACTCATGAAATATGCAAAATAGGTGAAAAATTGCTGAGTGAAATATCTCAGTCACAAAAGGACAAATATTGCATAGGGACATTGTTGTAAAACAGTACTGACATCGAGGTTGAGGGAAAACAAAGGAGGAATGATGTATGCTGCATTGAAACAGATGAAGGAGAGAACTGCTTAAAAGTGATATATGATTGGGTATTAATGTCATGACAGGAGTCCAGAATGAAGGCTGCACAATAGAGTGGATTTGGGAGGAGGGATTGCATAACCATGAAAGACGTTTTCCTTTACCTATCAGAGAGAAAAGTGAGTTGGGGTGGAGGAGGTTGGCAGGGAGAAAAGTGCAACAATTAATGATTGGAAACCCTAAGTCTCTGTAAACTTTCATTAGAATTAATTAAAAAAATATTGACTATTTCATGGATGGCTGTCCTGAAGAAAGTGCCACCATCGTGTTCCTTAGAAGCCAGGGTGATGAGTCCATCCCACATGTCTTGGGCATGTCATAAGGGGGATCAGTCCATGGAGAAGGTCAGGATGCTTGGAAAAACAGAGGGTGGGGAAAAGAGAGGAAGGCCAACAATGTGATAGATTTACACAGGGATTCAGCAATGGCCCAGAGCATGGAAGACAGAGTGAGGACGGTGCAGGACTGGACAGAGGTTCTTTCTGCTGTTCATGTGGTTGTTCTGAGCTGGAACTGAGTCAGTGGCGCCTGAGATCATCAAGCTGTTATAGGAAGTTCATTCTCAATCTGAGATGATACAGTTATTGTAATATCTTAATAGTTGCTTTGAAGTAGAAATCTGGGCATAAAATTACATGATCATAACAAAGGATTAAATTTATAGTTTTTCCTGTATATTTTCCATTCCCTGAATGTTTTATAATTAACTAACAAAGCCTCCTCATATCATTCTTTAAAATACAACAACCCCAAACCCATCAAACACTCAAAAACTCTTATCAAAACAAAACAAGGGAAGAGGATCTATTCAGATGAATTTTCAAGGTTAAATGAGAAAACAATGAAAACTGTGAACAAGGGACCGAACATAGTTACATGTAAATGATAAGCATTCTACAACCCGCTTGTGCTTATGGTTGACCTGAAATATTTATTGACCTCTAAGGTATGAGGAGGAATGTGACATCAAGATTGGAGGAAGACTCATCAACCACCTACATTATGCAGAAGACACAATCTTCTTTGCCGAATCTGAGGAGGATCTGAAGTGCTTGCTGCAGGTCAAAGACTGTAGTCTACAATATGTATTGAAGCTCAACATCAAAAAGACAAAGATTCTCACCAAGGTAACAATAGCAGCACCATGATGGATGGAGAAGAGACTGAGGTGGTTAACAAGTACAGTTTGCTTGGCTCCACAATCAACACACTTAGCACAAGCAGTCAAGAAATCAAAAGACAAATTGCACTGGCAAAATGTGTCATTAGGGACCTCTCCAGAGTAATGAGAAGAAACTATGTCAGCATAGAGACTAAGGTGCATGTGATCTTTAGAATTACTCGCTATGCATCAGAGAACTAGACAATGACTAAGCATGACAGAAGAAGAATTGATGCCTTTGAGTTGTGGTGCTGGAGAAGATTCTTGAACATATTAAGAACTGCGAAGAAAACAAACAGAGCAGGGTAACACTGCATGGTTCAAAATTGGGAAGGGTGTAAGCCAGGGATGTGTCTTATCTCCATACCTTTTCAACATGTATGCAGAGCAGATTATATAGGACGCTGGGCTCTATGAGGAGAATTGTGGCATCAGGATTGGTGGAAGGTCTATTAACAATCTGTGTTATGCAGATGACACAACCCTGCTTGCTGAAACTGAGGAGGACCTCATGCAATTGCTGCAGAGGGTCAAGGACTGCAGCCTTCAGTATGGACTGAGGCTCAATGTCAAGAAGACAAAGATTCTCACCACTGGACCAATTGGTAGCATCAGGATGGATGGCGAAGAGATTGAGATTGTTCACAGCTTCAGTTTGCTCGGCTCCACAGTCAACATTCTTGGCACCAGCAGTCAGGAAATAAAAAAAATATTGCGATGGGAAAGTCTGCTGTTAGGGACCTCTCTAAAGTACTCAAGAGCAACGGTGTCTCTCTGGAGACTGAGGTGTGCCTGATATAGTCCACGGTCTTTGCAATCACTTGTTATGCATCAGAGAGTTGGACAATGACTAGGGAGGATAGAAAGAGAATTGATGCCTTTGAGCTGTGGTGCTGGAGAAGAGTATTGAATGTACCATGGACTGCCAAGAAAACAAACAGATTTACCCTAGAGAGGGTTAAACCAGGCTGCTCTTTGAAGGGAAGGATTCTGGGGCTTCGTCTGACATACTTTGGATATGTTGTAAGGAGAGACAGGTCTTTAGAGAGGGACATCATGCTGGGTAGAGTAGAGGGACAGCGCAGGAGGGGAAGACCCTCTATGAGATGGACTGATTCAGTGACTGGGATAATCGGGATGTGTCAGAGGCAGTGCGGTTGGCACAGGATAGAGCAGGGTTTAGGGCTATTGTACATAGGGTCGCTATGAGTTGCAAACGACTCGACGACACATAACAAAAACAACAACAAAATAAAACAAATAGGTCTGTCTTAGAGAGGGAGAAATGAAGTTTCTTCTTGGAAGCTAGAATTTTGTACCCTGTCTCACATGGTTTGGGCACATGGGCAGGAGGGATCTGTCTTTGGAGAAGGATATCATGTTTGGAAGGGTGGAAGGACAGCCCAGGAGAGGAATAACTCAGATGAGATGGATTCGGTACAGTAACTGGGGAATGGGGTAGGTGTGTTGGAGTCTGTGAGACTGGCTCAGGCCAGGGCTGGCTTCAGACCTGTTGTACATAGGGTTGTTATGAGTTTCAGGTGACTGGATGGCAAATAAAAACAACAATAACAAGGTCCTTGTGTTGTTTGATTTGAACTTTTTACCTTATCGTATTGTCAGGTTAAGTGTTTTACTAACATATCCTGAAGACCTTTACTTCTACTAGATTGTCTCTTATGTATTCTGGATATGCAGCTAAACTCAATGACAATTACAGGAAATAACCTTGAAAAACTTTTCACTGAAGACACATTACTCACTAAGTTTTTATTTTTTTGTTTGTTTGCTTATCAGAGATAGCCTTATCCTTAAGGAGATATAGAGCATAGTTTCTAATCACAAGCTGTAATTCTGTCCTGCCACCAGAGAAGTCTGTTTCCCAAGGAGGCTCCTAAGTGGCCAAAGACTCATAGTTATCTCCCACTATCCACTTTTCAGGAGGAGAAAAAAAAAAGACACAGAATTTTAATTTTCCCTTTGAAAATTCATTCTCTCATGATTAGACATTCTTCCGTGTAATATTGTAAATTAAAGATCTCTTGACTTACAGTCATCTTCTTCAACACCTCTATTCCTAAACACACACATTGTCTTCAACCACAGGAGACATAAAGTCTCTTAAAGGGCTTAAACGTGTGTGCACATATCATTCACAAGCCTAGGGATGGTTTGTAATAGGAGTTAAAGTAAACGTTATTTATGTACCTGGATCAAACTTTTATTTTATTTTTTTATTGAGAACAACATATATGGGGATACAAGGAGGTGAATGTTGGGGGCAGAAGGGTGAGGATGGGCAGGGATGAAATTCAGGGATGCAGTTGCAGGGCTGCACAATTTGGTGGATAGGGGAGTAGGTGAAAGAAATGGAAAGGATCCAATGGGGACCAGATGATACAGGACAATGGTAAGCATAGTCCTGTGGTGATTAAACAAACTGTCTTATTCACTTGTGGGTTTCTGATTTGGGAATGGGGTGGGTTAAAACTTCTTGCCTTCTTGTTCTGCTAGAAGATATTTTCCTGATATTTACTCCCCTCTGTACTGCAAAGTGTTTTCCATGGTGGGCCAGTGGATCAAATCTTTAAAGTATTAAAAGACAAGCAACTTTTAACTAAAAGTTCAAAAAGAGGTCTTTCATATGAGATCTTGACCAGCAACTGATGATGCTTTCCATTTCAAATGCTGATTGGTTCCCAAAGGTTACCTAAGCAGGGGCAAAGTGATGCATTTCTTAGTTCCTGTTTTTGCACAATAGGTTGTAGGTCTCAATTGGTGGAGACTTGCCTGCTCATTTAGGACTTGTCCCCTCCTGTCATCCAGGATGGTGAGCTTGTGGTTCCCTGGGGGCACCTGGATGGCAGCCCTGACACTGATGATGGTTGTGCTGAGCCCTCCGCTGGCTTTGTCCAGAAACACTCAACGTAAGTGCATCGTTCATGGTGGATTAGGTATTGTGGGGTGGAATAAGTTATGTGTTGTTGTTGTTGTTAAGTGCCACTGAGTCGCAGGCAACTCATAGCGATCCTATGAAGGAGAGTCCTCAACGCTTGGGTGCCTTTCATCCTCTTTCCAGTTTCATAGGGTTTCCAGAGGCAAACTATTATGGAAGTGGATGCCACTCCTCCTTTCAAGCTTGTTTTAATCAGGGAGCTCCACCCCACTCTCTGTCCGCATTGAGGAACCAACCATTAACACATTTGACACATCAGTGTCACAGTGTTCAGCCTCACAGCAACCAAAAGTGACCACATGGTATGGCAACTTGTACATCAGGGCTATATGACCTTAGGAATGTCTGAACAAAAACAATGAAAGACTGGTCTGAGGGCCTTTTTGGGCTTGAAGCCCTCTGCTGCCTTAAACCCTAGGCCTAGCCTGGCCTGCCTGGCTCCTGGAGGCAGAGTAGTCTTTCACATCAGAATATGGTGTCTGAATAAGGTATGGAAAGAGTTAACTCATCCGCTGTGTACAGGCTCTGTGGAGTCATGTTCTTGAAAGAGGAAAACTGTGACTTCTTAGATATCTATCCATCTTTGTCATATTGATCCCTCACTCTTTCACACGAGCGAAGAGTGGCTGTTTGTGCTCCCTCTGGAAGCTGCTTAAGGGACCTGTTACGACTGGGTTTTATTTAACCATCTTCCATTCAAACCTCCCTGCCCTCTCATCAATTCCCTCAGGGTTTTGAGAATTGAAAAGAAGTTCCCCTCACACTCTTCCTTTTATTATATTTAGATAGCTATATAAGGGAAGGGTTCCTGGTATTTTTCAAGGGGCTTTTATGACATTATGTCCTCAGTGAGATCTGTGATGTTGGTACCCCTGCCAAAAATGTAAGCAGGGGTCAAGAGTACTCTAACATCATCATCTTTCCCTTCTTTCTAAATCCTGATGCTCCTGGAGTATAGATGTGTATGCCCCTGCACTAGACTTTCTGTGACAGAAAATGAGTTTGGAATTTCTTCTCTTTCCTGTGGAAAGAACCGTGGGTTGAAGAAGGGCATGGAACGATCCTGTAGATATGGCACATCTCTGAAGTGTTCTTTCTTTGGTCACTTAAAAACAATACATCTTTCCAACTTGGTCTTTAAGAGTCTGTTTTGGGCATTTCTATTCAATCAATTTCCCCACCATCTCTCCTTTCTCTGGACTCAGCCCACAGGAAGGAAACAACTGGTATAGAATAAAATTCCGGGTTTGTGGACAGAAAATATGGTCAAACATTAACAATTTCCTATGGTTTAACTTATATACCTCAGGCAGGGCCCCAAAGGATTTGTGAAAATATTCCTTACACCTGAAACTCAGTAAGCAAATATAGGGAAGTCAAAGGCCTTTGAGGGGGACACATTTCACAGGATCCTCACCATAGTCCCTTTTTCACTGAATTGGGTGTGTGTCTCTGCCTCTACCTCTCTACTTCCTGCTCCTCTCTAATCTTTCCCCACCTAAGTCATCACCATTACAGAAATTCCCAAGGATGACATAGACCTACCACAATAAGAGGGAGTACAATAAATGAAATGACCTGGATTTTTCTTCTTTCTTAAAATTACTTTTCAATCACTGGAAAAGCTGATTCAATGTTCAAGGAAGCATTAAATGAAGATGCGAGAAGTACACAATCACTGTACCGTAAAGAACTGGTGGACACAGAAGAACTTCATGAAACAACATCTGATCAAGAGGCAATGGAGATGAGGGAGGAGGTTCAAGAAGCTCTGAAGGAACTTGCAAAAAAAAAAAAAATAAGGCCGAGGAATTGATAGCAAATAAATTTATAAATTTCAACAAACAGGTACTGCCCTGGATGTGCTCACCAGGTGTGACAAGACATCTGGAGGACAACTACCTTGCCAACTGACTGTAGGAAATCCATACTTAATCCTATAAAAAAAATCTGAGTGTGGAAATTATCAACCATACCACTAATACCACACACTAACAAAATCTTGCTGAACATTATAAAACAAAGACTGGAACAATACATTTGCAGAGAACTATCAGAAACAGAACCTGAATTTAGAAGAGGCCATGGCAGGATAGACATTATCACCAGTGTCAGATGGATCTTAGCCAAACCTAAGAGTACCAGAGGAAAGTCTATCTGTGCTTTATTTGAAAGTGTAGATCACAACTAACTACTGCTAACCTTGAAAATAACAGGAATTCCAGAACACTTGATTGCGCTCCTGCAAAACCTATACTTGGACCAGGAAGCAATGATCAGATCAGAGCAAGGAAAAACGGCATAGCTTAAAATTACGAAAAGAGTGCATCAGGAATTCATCCTATCTCCATACCCTTTCAATCTATGTGCAGAACAGATCATTCAGGGGGCTATACATTACCAGAAGGAATGTGGCATCAGGATTAGAGGAAGACTCAGCAACAAACTGTGCTATGGATATGATAGGGTTTTCCTTACTGAACCTGAGGAGGACCTAAAGCATTTGCAGCCGAAGGTCAAGGACTGTAGTCCTTAATATAGATTGAAACTCACCATCAAGAAAACAAAGCTTTTTAGAACTGGGCCAATTGACTGCCTCATGATGACTAGAGAAGAGATTGAGGTTGTTAACAATTTCAACTTGCTGGCTCCGTAGTCATCACTCTTGACACAAGCAGTCAGGAAATCAAAAGATGAATTGCACTGGGAAAGTCTGCTGTCAGGGACCTCTCCTTAGTGCTGAGGAGCAGTGACATCAGTCTAGAAACTAAGCTGAGCCTGATGCAGACCATGATCTTCACAATTACATGCTACGCATGAGAGAGGTAAGATGATGACTAGTGATGACAGAAGAATTGATGTCTTTAAGTTGTGGTGATGGAGAAGAATATTGATCATATCAACATTCAGGAAAAGAAATAGGTATGTCTTGGAAAGAGTGAAACCAAGTTTCTCCTTGGAGACAAGGATTGGAAAAAAAAAAGTCTCACATTCTTTGGGCATGTAGCTAGGAGGGACCAGACCTCAGAGAAGGACATGCTTGGAAGTGTGGAGTGACAGCACAAGAGAGGACCCTAGATGAGATGGATTGACATAATAATTGGGACATTGAGATTAGGTGTGTAAGATTCAGGGAAACTGACTCAGGATAAGGCAGGTTTCAGAGTTGTTATATATAGGATTGCTATGAGTTGGTGGCAACTTAATAGCAAATAGTAATAAGAACAGTGGAAGGGATCTGTACACAGTGCATT